TCAAACCAACCAGCCACTCCACAGAAGACTGGGCAATCTACTTCCATAAAGATTTACCACCTCAGAAATCCAAAAGGGGTCGCTATGAGTGAGAATTGACTCGATGGCAGTGAGTTTGCTTTTTTGGTGGCATAATGGGTAAGGCATTTGGCTGCTAACCAGAAGGCCAGCAGTCCAAACCCACCAGGTGCTCCACAGGAGGAAAATCAGACAATCTACATCCATAAAGATTTATAGCCTTGGGAACCCAATGGAGGTCACTATGAGTCAGAATTGACTTGATGCTAATGGGTTTGGTTTTTTGGAGTTTGGTGGTGCTGTGGTTGAGGCATTGTGCTGCTAACCAAAAGGTAGGCAGTTCAAACTTACCTGCTGCTTTGTGGGAAGACGATGAAGCTATCTACTTCTGTAAAGATTTATATAGCCTTGGAAAACCAGGGGCAACTATGAGTCAGAATTGACTCGATATAGGTGGATTTTTGTTTGTTTTAAGCATTTGATTCTAACTGTTTCCCTTCATCACCACCCCCCAAAAGGCTGACCAGATGCCTCCTGTGACAAAGTCTGTAAAACAGATCACCTGGCATGCACCCAGATCTGTTTGTCAACTGAATTGTCACAATTGCCCACAATTGAATACTCCTGGTGTCACTTCAAAATAAAATGAAATTATTGCTTCCTTTTTATTCTGTATACTTCTGTTCAGGTCAACTGAAATTTCACTAGCTTTTCTGGGACTCACATAACACCGCCAAAGAAAAATTTGCCTGTATTTACACATGCTGGTCTTAGGCCATTTCTCTGCCATCTTGAATGTGTGTGCTTGACTGTTAAATTCCATATGATTGGATTTGCCTTGCATTTCACCCTTTCCTTTTAGGTAATGACAATTGTTATCCCTCCAAATTATTATCTGTGATTTGAATGAGTATTGGATTTGTCTCTAAACTTTCCCTGCCTTTATGGGAAAAATTAACGAATGATTAAATAATGAGTTTGCAAATGAAAAGCATTTATTCACACTCATGCTAAGATATGTTTGTTCATTTCTCCTGCTGTATGCCAGTGACTATGAGAAATCTTCATTCTTTTGTAAAAACATTGTATCAGTCACCCAGCCACAAAACCAGAAAGAGCCACAGGATCCTACAATAGGCTTCTCATTACCTGGACAGAGGAAAGACAATTTGGGAAAGGGGAGGTGCTAACTCTGTAAAGAAGGCAAAGACTACCTTTCACACAGTTTAATCATTCACAGTGCTTGTTCAGATGACTGACTTTCTCTCTTCCACATGTTGTCAAATTTAAGATCTATGTTATTTGTTTCAATACACCGAGGCAGAGATCCAGAATCTAGGCTGTCTTATCTCAGCCGAAAAACTCTGTATCTTGGATGAATGGCAGGTAATAATAGAACAATTCTGAGGGGCTGATTATGAGGAACCACACATAACAGTTTTTTCTGTGTTCTGCATTTTCTTGACTGAGAACATCAACCTATTTCCTTTCAACATGACATATTTGAACCTGGTCACACAATACTACTGATAAAAGTAACCTTACGTACTATATTGTGAAATATTTTAATTCACTGGGGGGAAAAAAGCCCAATGTAAAAATAAAGCCAGCAATTAACAATCCAAAAACAAATTAAGAAAACAATTCCATGTAGAATAGCACCTAAAATAATAAAGTGTCTAGGAATTAATTTAACCAAGGAAGTGAAACACTTGCACATTGAAAACTATAAAACACTGGTGGAGAAATTAAAGGAAATATAAATAAATAGATACACATTGATGTTCATAAATCAGACTTAATGTTGTTAAGATGTGTTAATATTACCAAAACCAATCAATAGATTCAATGCAATCTGTATCAAAATTCCAATTTCCTTTTTTGTAGAAATGCAAAAGTTGATTCTTAAATTCATGTTGAATTGCAAGGGGCTGGTAGGTTCGAATCACCAGACTTCTGGTTAAAGTCAAATGCCTTAGGTGTTATGCCACTAGAGCTCCCCCAAATAGTGAAAAACATGGGAAAGAGAAAAAAAAGGAAGACAAAACTCACATTTCTTGACAACAAAACTTACTACAAAGCTGTGGTAATCAAAACAGTGCGGTACTGGTAGAAAGCTAGAAATATAGACCAATGGAATAGATTTGAAGATCCAGAAATAAACTTGCATATCTATAGCCAATTCATTTTGGACAAAAATGCCACATCCATTTAATGGGGAAAGAACACTCTCTTCAATACATGGTGCTAGGTCAACTGATTTCTACATGAAGAAAAATGAAGTTGGACCCTTTTCTCACACTATATATAAAAATCAAATTAAAATGGATCAACACCCTAAATATAAGAGCTGAAAAGATAAAACCTTAGAAGAAAATATAGGAATAAAGCTTCAGGTCCTTGAATATGGAAATGGATTCTTACATAAGACACCAAAAATATAAACAACAGAAGACAAAATAGATAAATTGGGCTTCATCAAAATTTAAAATTTTTGTGCATCAGGAAATTATCAAAAAAGTGAAAAGATAACCTACAGAACGGGAGAAAATATTTGGCAATCAAATATCAGATACAGGTTTAATATCTGGAGGACAGAAAGACACCTACAAGTTGGCAGCAACAGACAAACAACAACCTAGTTTAAAATTTGAATAGACTTTTCTCCAAAGAAGATATACGAATAGCCAACAAGCACATAAAGAGATGTTTAACATCAATAGCCATTAGGAAATGCATATAAATACCCCAATGAGATACCACTTCACACCACTAGGGTGGTTATTATAAGAAAAAGGAAGATTACAAGCATTGGCAAGGATGTAGAGAAACTGTAATCCTTGTATTTTGCTGGTGAATGTAAAATTCTGCAGCTACTGTGGAAAAAGGGGCTCAGGTATAGCAAGGATTGTGAGAATGGCACAGGACTGGGCAGTGATTTGTTCTGTTGTACATAGGGTCACTATGAATTGGTGCCTACTCAACAGCACCTAAGAACAAACAACCCAAGTATCCAGCAATGTATGAATGAGTAAACAAAATGTGATATATACATACACTGACATATTATTTAGCCACGATGAGAAATGGAGATCTATGACATGGATAGACCTTTACAATTTTATGCTAAGTGAAACAAATCAGGCTAAGAAGAACCAACACTATATGATCCTACTGAAATATCCAGCATAAGTAAATTCATAGAAACCAAAGTAGATTAGATGTTATTAGGTGCTAATGATGGTGGGGGAAGGAGAGACAGGTAAGGGAATTTAGAGTTATTAATTAAAGGGTACTGATTTCTATTTAGGGTGATGAAAAACTGTTGGAAATAAATAGTTGTGATAGTTGCACAAAGCTGTGAATGTAATTAATGTCACTAGCAAATATTGGGGAAATACTGAATGATGTAGGAAACATCAAAAGAAGATGGGAGTAATACACAGTCACTGCACCAAAAACATATGGTCAATGTTCATCCATTTCAGGAGATGGCATATGATCAAGAACCAATGGTATTGAAAGAAGTTGAAGATGCACTGAAGGAATTGGCAAACAAAACACTTCAGAAATTGATGGAATATCCATTGAGATGATTCAACAAATGAATGCCATGCTGCAGGCACTCACTTGACTATGCCCCAAAATTTGGAAGACAGCTACCTGGTCACCCACTGGAAAATATCCATATTCATACCTATTCCAAAGAAAGGTGATCCCACAGAATGTGGAATTATCGAACACTATCATTGATATCACACGCAAGTAAACTCTTACTGAAGATAATTCAAAAGTGGTTGCAGCAGTACATTGACAGAGAACTTCCAGAAATGCAAGCTGGATTCAGAAGAGGACGTGGAATGAGGCATATCATTGCTGATGTCAGATGGATCTTGGCTGAGAGCAAAGAACACCAGAAAGATGTTTACTTGTGTTTTATTGACTATTCAAAGGCATTTGATTGTGTGGATCATAACAAATTATGGATAACATTGAGAAGAATGGGAATTCCAGAACACTTGATTGATTGTGCTCATGAGGAAACTATACATACATCAGGAGGCTGTTGTTTGAACAGAATAAGGGAATACTGCATGGTTTAAAATCAGGAAAAGAGTGTATCAGAGTTGTATCCTTTCACCATACTTATTCAATCTGTATGCTGAACAAATAATCCTAGAAGCTGGACTATATGAGGAAGAGTGTGGCATCAAGATTGGAAGAAGACTCATTAACAACCTGCAATATGCAGACAACACAACTTTGCTTGCTGAAAGTGAAGATGACCTGAAGCACTTACTGATGAAGATTAAAAACTTCAGTCTGCAGTATGGATTACCTCTCAACATAAAGAAAATGAAAATCCTCACAACTGGACAAATAAGCAACATCACAATAAATGGAGAAAATATTGAAGTTGTTAAAGATTTCATATTACTTGTTTCCACAATCAACATCAATCAAAGCAGCAGTCAAGACATAACACAATGTATTGCACTGGGGAATCTGCTGCAAAAGACCTCTTCCAAGTGCTGAAGAGCAAAGATGTCTCCTTGAAGACTAAGGTGTGCTTAACCCAAGCCATGGTATTTTCAATCACCTCATATGCCTGTGAGAGCTGGACAATAAACAAGAAGACCGAAGAAGAGTTGATGCTTTTGAGTTGGGGTGTTGGTGAAGAACACTTAAAGTACCATGGACTGTCAAAAGAACAA